CATCTTTTTGAGCTCAATGGTTAATGTAAAATTATATTGAGTTCAAATATTCGTTTTAAAGTTTTATTAACAACAGCCTATAAATCACTGACTATAGGCCTCTTCTCGCATGGAAAAGGTTTGAACATTAATCACCACGCGTGCTCAATGCGGGTTGGCGATTTCAAACTTATAATCCTTTAAAGTTTCTGGAACAACTAATTAATGACAGTTGATCATTTGACCTGGGTCATAGCATTTTCTTTTAATAGTAGTTTATAGCAATTTATCTGCTTGATTAATAACTTAATTAAGTGGCATCTTAAAAATTAGTTTCGCTAGAAAAAACAGCTGTTAGAATATTGCAAATTACAGTGAGGATTCCAGAGATATTTATAACGTACAACACATTTTTTTATTCTTTATGTTTATCATTTTAATAATTTCTTTAATATAAAACGAACAAATAAAAAGTTCGTTTCACAAATCAATATCAAGGATTTACGTAGAAAAACTTGAAAGTGAATTCATTTGAATCGAAAGGACTTTTAGGCTTGTTTGATGAACGAAAACTTTTTGTGGGAAAGGAACGACTCCATGATTTAAATTACTTTTAAGGATACCAAGTAACGTTGGTCTCCTGTTCAATTTTAGCGCAAAAAGGAGTTAAAATCTTGTCAACTTAAACGTAACCAGTTACAGTTGTTTTATACAAAGTTTTGCGATAACTTTGTGGTTTTAACTCCGAGCTACGAAGACCTGAAATTTCTAGTTTTTCTTTCTACTTTTTTATTATGAATGTAATTATCTTCTGGCCTGGATTTTGTTCACCGAAAATGTGTAATAAAAGAAACGAGTCATGGAAACTAAGCATGAAAATTAGGTATAAACAATATATCAAGAATACAAACGATTTCAACTCCAAATATGAGTCAAGATTATCTTCAATCCAGTCAAGTATTAAATTTCAAGAAATTATTTCCATTACATTTTTTCTGAAAGCATTCTTGTCTATTCATACAGAAATAATGGTGATAAGTGAGTATAGAATAAGATGTGAACAAAAATGATTTATAATACGGCGTAGGGTTACCTCGAGAAAATTCCGGAGTTCTCATGAGAAGATTGAAATATTTTCTTCTCATTATGACAACATGTCTCACTCAAGTCACGTAAATCGAGAAAATTTCTATCTTCATTTAGGAAATTTTGCGTCATTTTTGTGCTTTCACGCTAGGTTCCACGTGATGTTAATAGAAAAGGTTTTATTGTGCTGTATTGTTCTACTTCATATTTGTTACAGGTATCTGAACTTCGGATCATGTAGTATTTCTGAATGCCAAGGTAGCATTTGCTAAAAAAAATTAAAAAGTATAAAATATCAACTCTCCGTCTGCAGCCTACAAGAAATTTCAATTATTTAATGTTTCTCAATTAAGTCCCGATCATGTTGAAACACAACATTGTGATTCTGGTTTGGACTAGTTTCAAACAATAGGAAGCTTCCTTAGTCAAATTAGTAGTCGCACTTGCGACTGCTCAGCCAACGAGGCAGTCCAGTATTAAAGTTTTAAATAGAATGCAGTATAAGTATTAGTAGATTTGTCTATATCAACATCTAATTCCAAAGCAATATTGATTTTCCTTATTCCATATTGTGCTCGGAATGTAAAATCGCTCATTTCCCTTGGCTAAGAAATCTTGAAGGACGTTAAGCCAAATTCGAATAGTCACTTCCTTGCTTCATTGAAACTTTACCCTTATTTTGCAAACTTTTAATGGAGTAATTCGATTTCGAATTCCGTCATTCGATTTTTTGAATTCTGTAATTGATTTCGTCCCCTGTTTTATGTTTTAACTGTTCGAATTATGTTAAGTGTGCTGTTCAAAGACGGACCTCAGGATCCAGGGGATAAAGGACTTTAAACTAAATAAGTCAAGTGCTATTTAGTAGATTTTATCAGTAAGACTTCCAAAACCTGTTTTAATGTAACACGAAGTATAACTTAATATATATTTTTTTATACTACGACGGTAGAAAAATCCCACATGGCCCACCTAATGGTGAGTGGTTACCGTGGCCTATAATTGCTTGCAACACTTGGGCATATGCACCTTGCCGAGCCTTAAAATCCTATTTACCCTATGTACATTTTTTATTTGTTTATTTACTATGATCCTTTCTTTTTCAACCTCTTTTACGTTTAACTCTAACTATTCCTGCTATTGTACTAGGAAAATGTTCAGTTTACCCATAACCAATAACATAACATAACATCACGCCTTTTATCCCCGAAGGGGTAGGCAAAGGTGCACATAGAAGTAACACCCACTTTTCACTATTTATGTTATGAGTCCCATGCAATAGGGGGTGAGCATATACCGGGCACATTTCCAGACTCCGTGCTACTACTGAGATTTTTTAAAAACCCAGTAATACTTTGCCCGACCCGGGAATCGAACCAGAGACCTTGCCCGGCAGTCGCACTTGCGACCACTCGGCCAACGAGGCAGTCATTGGCCATAACCAATACCCATATTATTTAATAAAACAGTAGTTAGTGAGTACCGCCTCGTTGACCGAGTGGTCGCAAGTACGTCTACTGGGCAAGGGCAATGTATTACTGGGTGTTTAAAACAAATCTTAGAAGTAGCACGGAGTCTGAAATTTTGCCTCACCCCCTATTACGTGGGACTCATAACACAAAATATATGTCAAAGATAGTGAAAAGTGGGTGTTGCATTGTACAGTGGTATTAAGTGCCTTAATGTGCACCTCTGTGTATCCCTCCTGAGATGGAAGGCGTAATGTAGTAAGTGAGTAGTAAGAATATTTTTGTGTAGTGATTACCATACGTTTTCTTAAATTATCTTGTAATATATACTTACGACATGACGTCGTCAGTTAATTCCGCTGTCGAGACATTTAAGCCTAGATACATGGATCACCACAATAAATCCTAGCGCGATAACCGGGACTGATAGATTTACGCGATTTCTGAGTCAGATAGAAGAAAAAAACCGCACACTTCTACAATAAAACTGGCGTTGTGACTTATTGATATAATAAATAGTGAAGAGACCACTGAAGCGCTTAAATATATTTTGTTCATTTTCTATACTACTATATTTATCGTTATTTATACCATTATCTTTCAAACTTTCCCGAAGATTTTTCGAATAACATTAAATCACTATAAGATGCTAGTGCTACTGCCGCTCCTTCGCTGTTGGTTTAAGTTTTATCGAAAACAACTACATATAATGTGGATCTATAAAATAATTACGCCTAGCGTACATTGTTAACTATACCTAGATTAAAAAATTACGTGACATCTGGTCACGGCCTATTTATTCAAGCAAAATCTACTTCACTAAAATTCTGTTCCAGTTAAAACGTTCAGGCTAATTGCATAGCCTGATAAAGTTATTTATATTCCATCCTCGGTGTATATACAAAACAATAAGAAGACGAGGTTATTTCCTCGTGACCAAAAGGGATCCTCTGGATTATCCTCAATATATTGATACGTGAGATAAATGACGTGGCTGGTGAAAGATTTTATCCCAAAAGACACTTACTTATGCAGAACATGAGCGCCATTTATCCGGCTTTGTGAGTACTACTTATACTTAATCACTTTCTGCGCCCAACCTATCTAGATTAGTTCCAGAAAGGACTTAATGTTGTTTAGAAGCAAGCAAATTGTGGAGTCCATAATACCCTCTTCACTTGAAATCCAGACTTATTTGTTAAGCTGTTCCGATTTCTAAATAATTGTGTATTTTGATGAAATTTTCGTATATACGAAGAGTACAATAACTCTTAGTTTTTCTCGTCCCAAGTATCAGTTACCAGTTTTAGTGATGAGAATCGTTACTGTGTGATAAAGTGGTTCAGCACGGGTTTTCCCGATTCTAGTTTTGATTTATTTGTTCTCAATCCTTCCATATTTCTCTTCCTAAGTGTCAAAATCATATTACGGGAAGTCATACTTTATATTCGAACGAAGACTAACTGATTGTGTTCAGTGTTTTTATCTTCAAAAAGGTCGACCATTCCAATGAGTGAGGGACTATTTTAATTTACTGAAACCAGCTTGTACATATATTGCCTTGAAGATAATATACTCCAGTACTTACTTTTTCAATGACATAGTCAATTGTTTTATTAAGTCCTTTATCCTTTCTATAATGGAACGGTAAAATTTTATGCAGCATTATTAGTGCCAACATTATCATTAGCCAAGTAGTAATGTACCTTTTTATATGGAAATTAGTCGATGTTATATCGATTTTAGTTATATAAAGCTCTCCCTAAATAGTGATAGTTTGTTCCAGTTGACATTCATTTCACATTATAATGAGTGTTTGAATAATATCAGATATTAAATATATGGCAAAACTTTTGCAATTCAGAAGGTATCACCAATCCGTTTATGATAATACATATTATACGTAAATGAGATAAGTTTCTTCATTAAATCGTATTGAAAATAATATCCGTTACCAACCCTGTGATAAAACTTTGAATCGTGTTTGATGTAGGATTTCAGGAACAGTATTTGAATTGAAACCAAAAATAAAAGCTTCATAATAAACTTTAATAATTCTACTAATCTCAGATCACAACATCGAATGGCATTAGGCTGTGTACACATCTAAATACGAATGCTGATCATTCAAGCTGTTAATTATATTTTATATACAAAATCGATTTAAGACCAGGATTTTCGAAACAGAGTTTAACCAAGAGAGACGTGCTCTTGTTGTATTATAAAACGATTTATTATTTCAAGAATAGAGAAAGCGAATGCTAAATATGTTTGTTTCATTTTAAATCTTCTTTCTATAACTTGATCTGTTCACAATTATTACATACTTAAATAATTTTGTTTGCAAATACCCTGGCTTAAGCATCTAATTCGTCGCGGAGAACCTAACGGGTAACCGGGGCTCCGGCTCGACGTGCAGGAGAAGGAACGGGGTGGTTTTTAGTCAGTAAGAGTCTGACACTCCCTCCCGCCTCACCCAGGCGGGAGCAGTCATTCGATGATTTTCCCCCCTTAAAAAAAAGCATCTAATTCCATCCATATACTAACTATAACACTTAGAGTAACTGTCCATATTGTCATGTCATTCGACGAATGCATACATACGTTACAAACAATAGCCGGCCTACAAATAATAAATGCTACATCTTGCTTAGAAACAATGAAAACTTGCTAGATCAAGCGGCAATGTCAAATCTGCCTATGGACAAAGACGAATGCGTACATTCGTAAAATAATGCAACGTGGACAGTAACAGTAAGCCTTACTCTAATGCTGCGTGCTGTGCATTTCACTCAAGTATTTACATCATAAATTATTTGTGTATCTAGATGTGTAATCACCCTCATATTATTAGAAAACACTACAACGACATCGTAATCAAAATATGTACACTATATACAATACTAAAATAGTTACTTAAATCACTTAAAATTTACACTTAAAAGTCTGCGTAATTAAAACGACTTCTCATTCTCTGTCTTTCAATACACACAACACAAGTGATTTGTCGGTTTGAGTCTATATGCATGGTCTCTTCAGGTATTGTTAGTACCCGATTATTCACAGTTTTCCGTAATGGTTATAATAAACTGACATTATGACCGTTGGAGTACTTGGTTGAGGACCTCATTGAACGGTTGTTCATCGTCAGTCGAATCGAGGAAGTGTTGTTGTCACCACGTCGAAGAAGCGATGCGTGATGACCACCGGATTCCCTGTAAAGAAATTAGATGTTACAATTCTTACAATAATTTTATATTTTACGCGGTGAACCGACCACGTTAAAGTTGCAAGCTACCGGAAGGTGCGAGTGACAGGTGGTCGGTTGATGTGCACGACTAGGCTGGATAAACAAGGCCCCTGTTTGGTAGTGCACTTCTTTTAGCTTACATTGATAAATATTTGAGTTTCACAATAAAATTCATGTAGCCTACAAGATTATTGCCATTAAGCACTGTATACCTCTACTTATATCTTTGCTAGTTTGATATGGGACGTTTTACGTATAATTACAATTTAAAAGCCCTGCGGGTGTTACAAAATTTTCAGTAAGTAGCGAAGTCCGTAACAACTGTCACGATTTTTGACAGACAGGACCGACAACTTTACTGACACATAACATAATGCTTTAGACATAACCACAAGTTGTTTTTCTTAAAATGTTTTTGAGTGGTATTTGGCATTGTGTGTTATTGATATATTATTTCAAAGCGTTGTAAAAACCAGGACCAAACTGGTTATTTCCATTTAAATAAATTAAAATAATTTATGAAACCATGATCTAGAAAAGTTCACAAAGAGGATAATGTACGCTTTCAACATTATATATTAAAAAGTAATCGAGCAAAACAAAAAACCAATTCTTTTCGAATATCTAGAATACTTTTCAAAATAATTGGATGAATCCAATCCATGAAGGTCAGATTAGACCAAAATGGGAGACGGGATTGACAACGTTTCTCAGTATTTAATAATGGATAATTTATTTAATTGGTATAAGTAGAAATTTATTAGGGAATATTCTAGAAATGTCTACATGAGCACTGAAATAAGTGATGGCAAAAAACTGCTTCTGATATGTCGCGTATACCAAGAAATTCATAATATGACCTTTATCAAACAGTATTAAGTCGAAGTTGAAGAATATACTATTAAACATAAAGAAGAAGAATAGAAGTGAGGGAGAGCCATGCTTCGGCACAAATGGGCCGGCTAGACCGGGGTGATACCACGGCCCTTCTGACAAGCCGGCCGTTTACCGACGTAAAACCACGTTTGCGTTGTTTCGTCGTGTGAGTTAGATTACCTGAGATCCAATAACCCCCCACCCCCCTTCCCTAATCTACCCAATCCCCGAATCCCCAACCATCCTCAAACTCTTAATCCCCAAAACCGGTAACACACTTGTAACGCCTCTGGTGTTCCAGGTGTCTATGGGTGACGCCGATTGCTTACCATCAGGTGATCCGTAAGCTCGTTTACCGGCTTACGCCATAAAAAAAAGAAATATAAAATGCGTACATAACATTAGACTTGTGATATTAGGTGAAATCCAATAAGTATAAACCAGAATCAATGTCGGTAGTGTACGTCATCGTAAGTGGCTTATGTACAACAATAATCTGCATACATTAAATGAATCTTAAATCACGAAAGGCTTTGAATTCGTATATAAAATTAGAAAAGTCTTTTTTTAACAAATTTTGTATAAAAAATATTTTTTGCTTGGCAGAGTAAAATAGGTTTAAACCTACACAATAACCTACTCACTATATACGCAGTAAAAACATTATACGCCTAAAAATAATCACCTAAAACCCTTACATATTCAGACAGCCTATCAAAAGCGAGTCAACTTGTTTATCTTTAATTAAGTTCAATGTGATAAAAATATCAAGGAATAACATCAAAAGAATTTCTCATACTAAAATTTCAAAGGCCAAAAATGGTAAACAATTTTTCATAATGTTATTTGGAGACGACCATTTTACCCGAGGAACCTTGGCGTGTGTTCATAAAGGCTATTGTGACAAATCTTTTCATCATTAATAATCCTCCCAAACACGGCTTTCATATGAGGATTTTCAAGGTTTTTCTTAGGCAAAATACCGTAAACGATTCCGTCACTTATTTCAATGGATGATGGTTTTATTGTCGGTATCAAACACAATTTGTCTTTGACTTAGTAAATTCAGAGAACAGCAAAACATTATTCCTTTAGTTGCGTGTTTAAATGATTGTATTACGGCTATTCTAGGAATAAGTTCAATCGTAAACACACTTGTCTGCAGAACTGAACACTTTAGTTAAAGGTAAATTTATTCCAAGATATAATCGTTCTCGAAATGGTGTCTGTCTATGACTACATTGAACGAATGACGTCACGTTTATTACTCCAAAGGGGTAGCTATTGGTGCCAATGTATTTATTATTTTAACTATATGTATTTTATCGTTTTATTGAAATTTGTAAACCATTATGGAGCCAATTTTATAGGTGTAGACTAGACGCAATTTTGTATTGGGTACTTATCAGGGTGCGACAGTGTCGTTCGAAGTTCTATCAGCCCAATTGGTACAATAGGACAAATAGCATTAGCTGTCGGAAGATAAACCGCCTTTGGCGGCAGAGAAATTCACTTAAAAACACTTCAAAAATATTAAAAGGTTGTAATGTATTTTAAGAGGAATTTCGGAATTATTTACTGGGTTTTATATAACCTCTTTAACAGACTAAATTAAGAGCACGCGGAACTTTTACATTGAAATCCAACCTCCACCATTGAGTATGTTTTTCAAACTTCAAAGATGAAAGAACAAGTCTTTTGATCAATTACCCAAATACCCCGAAGTGTTTTAGGGGTAACTCGGTGACTTTTGTAACTATGCCGTGTAGGATTAACCCAAATCAGATTATTTCTAGAGAAGTACTCCGAATGTTGTTTTACCTCTTTACTTGTTTGTGTATCTTTTGTGTTTAATTAAAGGTCATACACGATAAGGAAAATGTGTACCGTAATTTTATTTGTATTAATTTCATTATTATTTTGTAAGCTTCCAGAAATTTTCTCTATTATATCTGGGAGTTTGAACGTTTTTTTTATTCGCCAGATAGCGCAAGGGTAGTAAGGAACTTTTTTGTCCAATCACAGCAGCTATCAAATATTGAATGTCCAATGGCGTGATATTAGGTAATTCCCTATTGGACGAAGAATATCACAAAGGTCACATTAGCCCAGTGATGAGCAAAAATATGGTAGTCCTCATTGCGCCCGGTGTATATTAATTGGCTTCCATCCTATTGAATGGTACTTGCAATTCAACTGGTAAAAAGTGGGTGTTTTATTTTCTGTAAGTACATATTATACGCGTGTATCTTTATCTAATCTTTCGGGGATTAATGCTCGTTTACATTAAGTCTAAACTAGTTCTTAGCTAAGAGTTACTTAACGTGACGTAACAACTAAATCACTTTTTACTTGTACTGTTAGGTATCTCAGTGGTGCCACTTATAGGTGACAATCAAAATGCCATTAAATGTCATTTATCTTATAGCTAAAGGCTTTTTTAAAATAACGTTATTTAATGAAATAGTAAAATTATTTATTTAGCATAAAATAACGACAATTAATGCCACTGTACAATGTAACACCGACTTTCCACTATTTATGTTATGAGTCCCATGTGATAGGGATGAGCCTATTGCTATATACCGGGCACAATTTCAGACTCCGTGCTATCAGAGATTTTTTTTAAACCTAGTAATACATTGCACAACCCGGTAGTCAAACCCGAGACTCTTTGCTCGGCAGTCGCACTTGTGAGTACTCGGCCAACGAGGCAGTCATTTAGATGCGTAGTAAACACGTATTGTAGTATTAACAATTAAGGAGTGTTTGACCTTAACAGGAGTAATGGTCCGTAATATAGAGGAGAGGTAGATTTACAGATAGTGAAGAATTGAACAATGCTCACCTACGTATCTCGGACCTCTAAATTCGCTTGACCTCACTAATTTAGATTAGCTTTTGGATTGCTTATACACATCTTATTGTGTAATCTCTGAATTTAGTTACAAAGATGAGTATTATTTAACAGTAAGTTATTTTATGGTTGGGGACTGTTATTGGTTCCGAAAATTGAATCAAAATCTAAAGTGTGTTTAAACTAATAAAATAGAGCCGATTTTTCAATTACCAGTTAATACAATACAGTATTTGACAACTACTCAAATTCAATACTTTTATCTAAACGTTAAAAACTAGAGGTATATTCTTCTATGAATTTTAAACGAAAAACTAACCTATGACGTCATTATATTTTCGAGTCAAATAGCATATTTATTTCTGAAAAAAATGCTAAGATAAATCGAAAATTAAGTATATCGTCAAATCAATAATTGAAAGTGTAATTATTTTTGAATATTTAATTGGATTGAAAAATCAAAATATTTTTTTTTGACCCAATTCTTAACAGTGAAATAAAATTGATATATGACAGTTTTAGTATGGAAGAATTGTTGAATATTCAAAGTTATTCTTCAGTTAAAAATTATCTATGCGTTGGAAAAATCGGTCCTTAGCTACGTTATAAATTAAGTATTATATGTATTTACATATTCAGTTATATTTTAAAGAGCAACTTTATGATGTAAAACGAAAACGTTGACTTTGTCTTCGTAAAAGTCAACTATAAAATTATTTTTAACTCGATACAAAACATTTTGATTTGCTCCAATATTTCCTATAGCATTTCTTGGTGTAGGAAGATCTGTAAATAACAAAAGAACAACCGAACTCTCATCAATCACCGCCGTATTAATCACATCAATTACTCAAGACTCACTATCTTCAAGGCTATAAATAGATCGAATAACATTTCCCAAAGAGGCCAAAACTTGATATCTCAGGTGAAATGCTATGTCAAAATCTACGTCCTGGCAAAGCCATAGTAACTTGTTATATTAAAACGTTGATTAACATATTGCTTCCTCGAAGTGATTAATCATTGACTTAATAAACAAAATGAGTTAACGAAGTACCAACAATGTGTTTATTTGAAGCATCGTTAGCGTAATTCGTAGGGGTGCGGTGCCAGAAGACCTCCCCGTGGTGCACCCTGGGTGCGGGCGACAGTCTCCCTAGCGGGGGTGATAGGGTTGGAGTGACTGTCGCCCGCAGCAGACTTCTGGACTGGGCGGGCGAACCCGATAGGGT